TCAAGCTTTTAGTCCAGCTCACAAGTGACAGATAGTTACAAAGAGGACACGAGGCTTACCCTCCGGGTGTAGCAAAAATGATCAAAAATAGATCAAGAGTCGAGTACAAAACTCAAGGACTATTTTCAATCCAGCATATAAATGTTATCACACTGTAGAGTTTTCTAAATAAAAAAAAAAAAATACATCGTACATCGTTTCATCTGGTCTGCAAAATATACCTTTTGCCTCTGAAGAAGATCTTGCTAAGATCGGAACGTCAGTTCAGGCCGCCTTAATTTTGTTGATTTGTATATTTCAGGTCAATCCAGTCAGAAAGCAGTTTGCAGCAGTTTTATTCATTTGCCTGGTCTACAATACAGGCATGCCCCATTTTCAACTCGGCAAACAATACTGATGTAATTTTAGAGTTTTCTAACATACGAAGACATAACTCAGTTATAATATCGCCATGCATTATTATATCCATTGCCATAAACTCGTTTCGCCTCATGTGGTCAACAATATGTCTCATTTTCAACTCGGCAGTCAATCTTGACGAACCATTAGAGTTTTCTAACATTAATAAACATAATTCAGCTACGATTTCGCCATGTTATATTCATTTTCATAAACTCGTATCTTGTCGACTGGTTTTCTTGTATCATATGACCGTTTTCAAGTCGGCAGGCAATCTTGATGATGTATAAGATATGGCCTTCTAAGATTTCGCACCGATGAAATTTGAAACGTGCATAATGTTATAAGGACTTTAAAGCAAGCGAGGTGAGCGTAAACACAATCTTGTCCGGCCGCAGCAAGATTTTGTATTCAGTCCTCAAATCCCTTGGTAACATCATCAATCGAACTACTGCCTCATCTCTGACCCAGATTTCTTTGTGTCCTAGGCCCGTCAGGGAACCGTTCTGAGATTACCCATGGCTTGAATACGCATGCGCCTGCAGAGTTCCTCGTCCTTTTTCCCCATGACATCGACGACATGAATGAAAAACTTTAAAAATCAAACTTCCATCAAAATCCCAACCTTCTGAAATCTAAAGCTTAACAAAGATGACTCTAAAGTAAATCGTCACTGTTTTCACGAAGGGGCGGGCATGTGGACGTTGAAGGAAAAATAGGTTCGGGATAATTGGGAAATATTTCTCCTTTTTTAAAACTGCAAAAACTTCATGCAGCATGCAATGAAACCTTCTAATATTTCTTTAGAAGTTAAACTTTCTTGTGAAACCAGTTATTAAACAAGGCAAATTACTGTAATGCTCAACGAAAAGGTATTCGATTGGAATTGACGAAAATACAGAAGTCATTGTTTGATATTCCTGTTTTCAAAGTGTTCCTGAGCACGCGCGTATGCGCGTGTTGCATCGGGGAAACCAAGCACGAGGTGATCCTGTCACGGTCGCGGGCCTCGTGGCCAACCAGTGCCGTGTTTACAACTTATTTTTCGCGATCAAACGAAATAAATCATACATTTGTCTCGATCATTGTGAGGCGACTTCTTATTTTCGCCCCGTCTCCCGAGTGATCTGATAGGGTCTGTCTCATCTGCATCCACGTCCCCAGGGGACAAATACTGAAAGACACTGGCCTCGGAATTTACAGGCGCGCGGCATCTGGTTTCAACATCGTCACTTAGTTTCGGACAAAAACAGTATATTATTTTGACAATTTTGTCAATTGGCATGCGGCTTTTGTATGAATCTAAGTTTAGGCCAATTTGAACAGGAAAGTGGAAACACAAAATCAGATCTGAAAAGGCATCCGAACCAGTCAGAGCATGTTATCGATGTACCGGGTATACTCGCACAGAGGCCCCCTGGCCCCTTCAAATGACGACGAAAGCATAGTGACAGATATTGTTCGGATAAGCCGTCACGTGGGGGCAGTTGCTTTGGACATAAGCTAGCACAATGCTTTCGCCATTGAAGGGGGCCTCCGCGTGAATGTGCAACGATAACGTATGACAAAAGAGTCCCATGCATCTTATACATGAAACAGTCGTCAACAGAAGAAGCGGTCAGTGGATCTGCTGAAATTCGGGTTCGCGTCTGTCGCGCGCGCCCAAAAATAGACTATTCTGCACATCTACAGTATAAAGAGAATTCCCGGGAGAGTTTCCCAAACAGAATCGAAAAGCCTGGTCAAATCCTAACAAAACCAAACCACATTTTGAGCCGTTTGCCGTGAGTTCAATTCCGATCACATAATCAGCGAGTTTTAACGGTGCGTGTCCCCTTACGTCGTTGCAGACTTTAAGCCTAGAGCACGGGGTTGAAAAGGTAAGTCTGCGGAGGAATCTTCACGGCGTACGTTGCCAAAGCTCCCCGACTGTCATTTTTGTAGGCTTCCGCCCTACACAAATACAGTCCTATATTTCACTTTGCGTCACGATTCAAAAAAATAACGAGGACTGACAACGAAACACCGCATTCCGATGTAGAAAGTGATTATACTCACTCTTTTTCATCGACATTTATGTGCAACATCATTGGCAACACCCGTACCATCAACACATACATTGGACCACTATTATACTGAAACAAATCTATACCATATAACCAGTATTTCATTATGTTCGTGGTGAAATTGTGCCTCTTTTCCGCAATGAATAAATAAAAATCGGAAATCTTTTGAGTAGAAGTTTATCATCTCATCACAGCGAGAGGGACATTACATTACTTACAGTGCTGTCCGGTCCGGTAAACAGCCTTTCGCCAATTAGGCTTGCATGACATTTGTATGAACCCTTAAATTTGTATACGCCAAACGATCATTAACTACCAAAGAGTTCGGATTTTCGGGGGTAAACACTGTCTGAAGGAGTAAATAAAAGGGTTCCCTCGTTATTTTGCCCACGAATCTCCGGTAGGCAACCAATAAATCTCAAATCACCTCAATTTGTTCTTAGTAACTGACCCTTCATCTTGTTCACGTAAACAAACTCGTACATTAATAGCGAATCGATATTTTACCATGTAGTAAACAGGAACAAGCAACAAAATTTTACATTTTAATTGGAAAATATTACTCGATTTCAACTTACAAATCAAACAAACAAGCTATTTTTGGTCTTCATACTGCGGAGCGGATTCTGCCTCAAACTCGGCTTTGCAAGGATTGATATTTTTTATACTATTTTTTAAAGAAAGTTGTATTCCTTGAATGACATCAATGCCAAACGAAATGCTGAACATGTAAATTACCGTCAGTTGGTAAAAACGTGCTTTTTCAAAATTTCGATTTTCTTTCCCGCACGAAATTTAAAGGAATATAATGTCCTGTAACAAATAAATGTGCTTGTTTGTTTTGCAGGCCTTTATAAAATTTCAAAACTTGGTTTGAAATGGCGCACTCCAGTTCAGAAACTGCGCAGATGCATTATTCCGAACGAATTAGGAGCGTCCCGCTCTTAATTCAAAAATTGAAATTAAGTAATTGGCTTAATTGTCATGGGCCGATTTTTTCGTGCGATGTCTCATTGGAAAGCTCATAACCAGGCCTAATGTAATGCTAGAAAATTATCAATTCAATTTGAAAATCTATTTTTCAAGGTCCTACACCCCAAAAGCGCGTATACATCAACTTTAACACATTGTTCTACATATGCACAGTGTCAACAAAAGTAAGCATTTTGATACCACAGCCACAGTTGCATGATGCGAAAAACTTTCAACTTCGTGAAAAAGTGGGTACCAATTTGTAATACCCCTTCCTGTAAGATACAAGCCAAGAATTCATTAATATTAAAAAAAAAATTGTCTGCCTCCTTGTCTTTATTTGTCTGCATGCATTACCCAAATAGCATTGTCTGTTACGAAAGATCTATAATTACACACGAATGATAGTCCAAATAAAAAGATTGACAAAAGGCTTCATTATGTCTCGTTTGTTAGTCCAATAATGTGATCGAAGGTCTATGATTATACATTGTATTGAGAAGACAGTGCTTGTGTAAGGGCTAGCCTACACAATCAAGAAATAGTAACTAAAATTTCAACATGGATTTTCAGGGTTTTCCGTTTCTTTGTCAGTCGCGCGTATACATAGAGCTATATTAAATTTAATATAGAGCTATATTAAGTTTAATATACATGTAGCTCTATGGTCGTATAATGACTGCTGGACTTTATAAATAATCTGGACTTTAAATCCCTGGCGAGTATTGGTTTAATATATAAATGAGTTTTAAAATGACATGGGTTCAAATAAAGGCATGTCGAAAACAAAAACGCAACTGGTTTCAAGGAAAATCGATGATGCGGTGCAAACACGAGTCACATTTTGGGTGCGCTTTTTTGAATAGGTACCGTACATACTTGCACGTGAATTTCAAAATGTGAACTTGAAACGAAGAACAACATTGTGAATTCATTTAAGGTGTAGTCTACGTGGATCGAAAAGAATAGGAAACACAGAAAGTAAAATGCAACGAGATCATCACATCATGAACATGATGAACCATTTCCCCATTAGAAAACAAAATGCGCATGATTGATTTTCCGACCTTGAAATCGGTTGTTTGTTTTTGACATGCCCTTTATTTGAACACGAATCATTTCAAAACCCTTTTGAAAATCAAACCAATACTTACCAGGGATAAAGTTAAGATTCCAAGCTTTAAAATGATATTGAAATAATAGCGGTACGTGTTTCCGCGGCGACGCTAGAGCCTCGAGAAAAAAATTGTTCCCTCTATTTTGGGACGCCCTGTATACTTAATCATTACGTACAGTATTACATTGGACGTAGTCGACGACAGGCGGCGCCCTCACTTGGCAAAATGCATGTAATCTCAAAAGCTTCAATTGATTGAAACGAAAGATTCTTTTTTTCCATTTAAACAATCTCTAATATTCTGCCAGTCCAAAAAAAAAAACTACTAAAAATCCCAATTTCAAACGTTAAGACTTATACATGTATATACCAAATGGAACCATAGTATACTTGATCATTATCTTTGACATTTTGTAATTAATAACAACACCAGGACAAAATGGGATCAGTGTCTATGCAGTGATGTTCTGCATTTATTGTAAATGTTTCAATATAAACAAAAGCTCTGCAGTAAAACCAGAATTGTGAATACTTTGCTCGACTGGCTTTTATTACTGTGATTATTAGATATTTATACTTTTTGGCTGAAATACTTGGGAAAAAAATACTAGAGACACCGAAAGGGAATGTACAACACAAACAAATTTTGGAATGAAAGGGGATTACTTTCTTAACTTTCCCAATTTCACAAAAAAAGACTGCAGTTGAATTTTTTTTGTCATATACATGGATTAGCCAAATTAAATTTGGACACCGACAAAGGCACTTTTCTTCAATTTGTTGGTATTAGGTAACAAATAAGTGCACATATATACATGTAAATATTTTCTACATAAACTTTCTACATCTTTTATACTTCAGTTGAACAATTCATTAATTATTTCCTATACGGTTTCAATCAAAGCGAATTAGTATTGGGTTTAAACAGATCACACATCCTAATGAAATAAAAAAAAATAACAAAAATAAAAGAGCTAGTATCCAGGAAAAATGAAACGGAAAATTGTACGACTTCGTTTTACATGGATGAAAAAGATGCATCTGAAAATTTTGTTTTAGATTGGCAATCAACTATTTCAAAGTTTAACAGCTGCAGAAAAATGGTTGATTTTAAGCCATGATCTGTTTGACTATCAGTCCGGTTAAAACCAACAGGAGATATAAAATTAACAATTGAACGATTACCTTAAACTCAAACTTTAAATTGTAATATTTTCAAAGAATAAGTAGGCCCCTATAAGTGATATTTGTTCAAAACTGATCGTCTCTTATGATACCCTTTATTATTGCTTTTATGTACTGACTGTGTGATTCTTGAACAATATGAAACAACAAAAAAGCACTAATGTTGAGAATTCTGGTCAATAAATAATTGAATGTCGAATTTTTCTCAGCAAAGTACAATTATAAGAATAAAATAGGAATAACGCATGGAATGTAACCTGGACATTTATAGAAGAGGAAAGAAGACTAACAGACCAGAGCCATGTCAACTGTAAAGCAACACGTTAACGGATAATGTTAGTCAATTTGTTTGAGCAACAGCAAAAGGTGATGGCAGTAATTATGTAATGACTGAACAATAAAAGGCGGCACATTATGACAGAATTGAACAGTACAGGCATGCAACTGGGAATTTAGGAAAACAAAGGAAACTCCAAAACACATGACTTTGTACAGGTTTTGCAATTTGTAATGACATTCATTAGAAGTGAAAAACGAGGAAACCAGCGGATCCGAGGAAAAGTTGCATGCCTGACAGTAAGGCTTTTGAGAATGGGGATTGAGGATAAAATAAGACCTGCAGTTGACTACCCTGTATCAACAATCTACAGCCCTCGATTGCCTAGTCACTGCAGTCAAGGCAATGTGAAACGATTATCCGCAACCGGTTCTAGCCAGTTATCTGTTTACTTAAGTAACCTAAAGTCTCAACCCTCATTGCAAAGACTGGTTGTCTGACTCAAAGGCACTCTCAAAGGCTTCAGACCAAAAGGGTACTGTGAAACGCTGATCCAAAAGCAATTTCAGTTGGTTATCTTATAATCTGAGTAACCGGACAGTCGCAGCCTTGAATGGATAGCATAGACTGGTTGTCTAGCCGCTGCACATGAGGCACTCTCCGGGGTTCTCCAGGGAGCATATCATGGCCGCTTCGTTCAGCTTCTTCATTTCCTCCTCTTCGGCTTGCAGCTCTTCCTCCGTCTCTTCTGATTTCTTCATGGAGGCGTCGGCCTTCTGCTTGTCCAAGGTGAACTGGATGGGGTTGGCGGCCGGCCGGGTGCGGAGGTAGTACATGCCTGTCTTCAGGCCCTGGGGATGAGAGATATGGGAGGGGTGAATGCATTGGTCAATGGAGCGATTGCATTTGGCCCCGCCCACCGAATCTATGGGCAACATACCTCTCCATTGCCACAGGACATGTTCCAACCGCATGCATCCTAATATGTCAATGCAAGACTTGTCTGAAATAAATAACGACCCTGATTGGTCGAAACTTCATTGAGCAGCGCTTAACGTATCAGTCTATTCTCATTATTTTGAAACTGATTGCAAAAAAGTCTGCAAAAAAGTCTAATTCAAAAAAATCTGCAATAATGTCCCATGCTTTGGATGTTGAAGGAAAAGACTTCGGGATGTGACTTTGTGTTTAGTTTTGTAAACGTTCAGCAAATTATTTTAAGAACAGTTTAAACGTTAATAGCCGTTCATGCTTATTATGGCGTGATGAATCATGATGAATCAACTTGGCAGTCATTGAAAAAGTAAAAACTGAACTAGGTGTGCCCCGAATGTAATCAAGTACTGCAGCGCTTTGAAGGTTTTGTAAATTGAAAAGGTTTGAAAACATCATTATGTAGGTTTAACTCAAAGGTAGTCTGCGTGAACGACCGAAGGTAGGGAATATTGAAGGCAATTGTACTGGCAATGTGTACAATTGTACTAGCCGAAAACTGCTATTTGCATGGTGATACGTTGACTTTTAAAAATATGAGGGTTGGATAATGGTATTAAACTGGGAGGCACGATAGTATTAATGCACTGTTTAGTTCTTCAAATCGGGAACTGAAGAAGGGACTACTTACCAGTTTCCAAGCGTGGAAGTGCATACTGGTCATCTTGCCAAAGTTAGGCGCTGCAATGTGAATGTTGAGTGACTGGCTCTGGTCAATGTAGGCACCGCGATCGGCTGCCATCTTGAGAATGTTCTTCTGGGAGATCTCCCAGACTGTCTTGTATAGTTCCTTGGTGTCCTTGGGTATTTCAGAAATGTTCTAGAAAGGAGGAGTCAAAAGAGGTAAAATTTGGAACTTATATCTATGATAGGTGATTTAGTCTTTTTGGAGTTTTCTTAGTACTGCTTACCAGAGAATTCTGCACTCTTGATCATTATTCAGAGCCAACAGCACTAGAAACAGAGAGTCTGTAATCCCTGTGAGCACGGAATCTTCGGCTGACCAGTTCACGTCGGAGGATGTGATAACACGCACTGGCTGTTTTTATACACAGGCACGGCTGAGGGGTTAAGACATCAAGATTGCCTCCAGGTGACGTCTAAACATGCTCATCCCTCATGCCTTTTGTTATGTACACACACAAAGTCTGTGAAGTCTGTGGAGGCGGACCCTTCGTTGATCTTGAATTGGCCGTTGTGCACGGCCTATTGTACAATTTACGCTCTAGTGCACACCCTGGAGTATTGAAACATATGAGGTTTCGGCAAGAAATATCGTACAAATACTGTTGAAATCACTCTTGCGAAGCAGTATTTGTGGCGTTTGGCTGTATATCAGAAGTTGGCTGGAAACTTGCCTTTTGCGATAATCAAAATTTTTGGCAAAAAAAATCCCGTCGCAAAGTGGTTAAAGGATACACCTAGAGCCAATAGTTCTTGTTACAGAACTTGTGATAATACGCTACCAGTTATAACTGTTGTGGCTGTACAAAGTCATGGAACGCATTGCCAAGTGATAAGAGAAAGAACCTGAGAACAATTTCTTGCAAATGAAGAAAAAAAACCACACACACACAAAATGTACCTGTATGGAGCCATTGTGGGCAATGAGTAGGTTCTTCATATCATCATTCCACAAACCAGACTCAGTCAGATCCTTCAACAGATGCTGGTTCACAATCTGGTATCAAAAGGAAAATACACAAATTCTAATAACAAAAATTTATGAAAGTATCTTCATATCTCAGTGCTTTGGAGAAAAGGCTTCAACATGTGGATAATCTCCAAAACTGAAATGTGTACAATAAAAGTAATGGCAGTATTTGTGCTTCAACCAAACTGATCATCAAAATTCTATGACCAACCGAGCATCAAATTGGTTAAAGACCAGACCCATATGCATTGAATCTCCGATTATTAGCATGCAAGATACAGAATAAAGGCCAATAAGTCACGATCTGCCAAAAAGTCAGACATTTGTCAGGCAAGTTCCTTACCTGGAATTCACCAGACAGCACCCTGCGAGTGTAGATGTTGCTGGTGTACGGCTCAATGGACTCGTTATTGCCCAGGATCTGAGCCGTGGAGGCGGTGGGCATGGGGGCCAGCAGGAGACTGTTCCTGAGCCCGTACTTGGCAATGTCGGCCTTCAGGGCGGCCCAGTCGTGCAGGTCTGTCGGGGTGACGTTCCACATATCGTACTGCAGGATCTGTGGGACCGAGCAAAGAGTTATTGTGATCAGAAACTTGCCGACAGTGCAGATTTCATTGAACTGTGGATGGTTTCGCAAAGCACCTCTGTGCTGACACTGCACACTTTCCATAAAATACTGCTCACTTGTGAATATTCTAATTCTACTTTATAAAGGAACAACATTGATGTACTACGTTAAGCAAAACATATTATAACTGATGCACCTAGCTCAATATTCTAGCCTGTTTAAACTAAACCTGATATCTAACCAACAATTGTGTACCTAATCTTCGAAACTGCCCTAACTCTATTAGGTACAAAATACTTCACAAGAGTATCCAATCACAATTATGAACCAGGGTGGGGGGTGGGGAGAAATTACCTGCTAGTTTGGATCTTGAACTATCGGCTTTCTTGGAAGATGCAGATGCACTTAAACTGTCACGGTACATAACAAATCTTCGCACTTGCTAATTCGATGATTATCATGAAAGGCGATGAAATGCAATCATCTTGCTTTTGCGTGTAGCTTACAGTCAGATTACTCTGTGTCATATAAATATTCGGCTAACTCTTTTGCCTCTTGTTATTTCCCATATGTATATTTTTTTACAATCCTACAGTATGATCCTAGTGATAAACACCTTAAGTCCTAAAAACAACAACTGGAAACCTAACAATTAATTTAACTACATAACTCCTCTTTATAGAGGTAGTCACATTTGTCAACTTCTTAGAGTTTGCGATCCTACTCTCTCCCAAGTGTTTGGTACATCAACTACTCCTGCAATAAGGAATCTAGAATCCGCTAAGGTCGAACAAGAGAACTTGGTTAAGGTCTGCGAAGGACGCTACAAAGTTCTCCTTCTATTCCTATTGGGAATTCAGGGCTTTAGGAACGACCGCAGAGGGCACTGTGGATGGGTTGTCGAAAAGAGTGGGATCTACAGGTACCTAAACGTCCAAGTGCATGGTACTACAAGGGTAAATAAAACAAAGAGAACTGGAAATTGGAAGAAAATTTGAAGAACGTACCCCTTTGCTCGCCGGGCAGCCCTCGTAAGTCTCATATGGTCCATGCTCCTTGGCGAGCTCACAGCTTGCTTTGAGAGCGGCGTAGTAGATGGTCTCAAAGATCTGGATGTTCAGCTTCTGGGCCTGGGGGCTCTCGAAGGGGAAGCGCATCTTGATGAAAGCGTCGGCTAGGCCCTGCACGCCGATGCCGATGGGCCGGTGACGGAAGTTACTTCTCCGTGCCTGGATTTTGGTAAACATTGAAAATTTATTAGCAAATTAAAGCAACTTCACTTCGGCAACATCTAGAAATGGGAGATCCATGCTGCTTAGGTTAGGTTGCTTCTATTCGACTCTAACTCAGATCGATATTTAAAAAGTTATAAACAATCCGCGTTTAAATTTCACAGTGACAAATGACATGGAATCTGTTCGTTTAAATTTCATATCAGATAAGCTTTAGCGTATGTCACAAAGTTGTACTTTCAACCATGCAAAGCTTCAAAGTGTCATGAAATTGAAGTGTCAACACCCTTTTCATGGAACAGATCTCACCTCTTCGACAGGGTAGTAGTTGATGTTGATGATCTTGTTCAGATTCTTGGTGACGACTTCAGTAACCTCCGCCAGCTTCTGAAAGTCAAAGGTCCGGTTGGGTCGAACGTACATGGGGAGAGCAATGGAGGCCAAGTTGCACACAGCTACCTGTAAAATGATAAGTAGATATTGGGTCTGAAACATTTTGAAACCGTTTTTATTTCAGAAATCAATTTCCCTCAGCGTGATCAGCCTCCATTGTAAGTTTCTCATATTTACAGCAATGTGAATATGTTTAGCATGTGTTTGGGGCACGATCTTTAGTTGAAAAGCATGATCTGTTGGAATCAAGAGCAAAGATTAACTTAATTCCCCAGCCCCTGTTGTTTTTTTAAATTTGGCCTGATTTTCTCCGACCACTATCAAATTTTATAAAGCTGCTTATAAAAGTAATACAAAATTTTGCTTTATAGCAAAAACAGATAAGCCACATTTCATATGACATATCACAACATTTTCTTCAGCAGCATTTTGCGAAGTACAAAGTCTTTTCATGAAATTGAGCCCCACATGAGGTAATCACATTCATCTTTTTGATCCTCCAATTCTTGGAGATTTTCAAGAGAAATGATTATTTTGCTTACCTCGTCCGGGCTGGAGTACTCGATAATCTCAGTGCACAGGTTACTGCACTTGATGGTGCCCAGGTTCTGCTGGTTACTCTTACTGTTGCAGGCATCTTTGTACAGCATGTACGGGGTACCGGTCTCGGTCTGGGCCTGCACGATGGCCTGCCAGAGATACTGAGCCTTGATCTTCTTGCGGTATTTCCCCTCGCTTTCGTACCTGAGAAACGAAAGTGTATTTTAGACGCCAGAGTTATGATTTTGAGACACAACAGTTATCTTCTATCCGATATAGACACCATTTTTCAAGGTTCGGGTAAGCTTACTGAATTCCTAAGTTTGAATCACTCAAGGGGGTTAAGAGTAAATAGACAAGACTAGACTTGCCGAGACCAGATACAGTCTCCATTTAGAACATCATTTATACTCGGTGAATCAGTAACTAAGTCAGAGGACTGTAGGTTCGCCATTCAGGTCCATCAAAATTCAAAAAGTTTAGCACAAAATGTTCTTAATGTCTAATATATCTTCATTGGGTGATCAACTCTCAACACTACATTTCCAGCAAACTCACTTTTCATACAGCTTGTCAAACTCTTCACCCCAGCAATCCGACAAGCCCGGGCACTCATTGGGGCACATCAGGCACCAGTCTTGGTTCCCCTCCACGCGCCTCATGAACAGGTCTGGTATCCAGAGTCCGTAGAAGAGGTCGCGGGCCCGCTGCTCCTCCTTGCCGTGGTTCTTCTTGCAGTCCAGGAAATCAAAGATGTCGGCGTGCCAGGGCTCCAGGTAGATGGCAAAGGCACCAGGACGCTAATGAATGGAAGAAAACCGCGTTTTATCGTTCACTATTACCATGCTGAATAGATGTTATGTAACCCTCAGAGATGTTCTAACAATCTCTTTAAAGTTGGAGGATCAAGGACCGTTAGGCTTAACCGTAACTCCCTAGGCATTTTTTGCTAGGATGCAACCTCAATCCTGCAAAATCCTCCAACTGTGTCTCCATGTAAAAATAGCATACAGCCTCAATCCTCCAAATCATGTTATTTCTTAAATGTGGTCTTTGGAGGGGTGACCACTGCCTCAATCCTGCAAAATCCTCCGGCAATCACCGTCAATATGTTGAGGCAGAGCCAGTGAGATCCTGGAGCAGTGCGGAGGATTTCAGTATAATCTAGGCCTAAATTTATGCACGGCTGAGCATAAACAACACAAGGCCCGGCCAAAGACCTTGACACAGTGCATCCTCCAAAATCAGCCGAACATTTTTGCCATGTAGCCTCAATCCTGCAAAATCCTCGGTTTTGCAAACAGGATTTTGGAGGATTTTGGGCGGCTAGGGTTAATGAACAATGAATTACTAATTGTAAAACCTGAAAAGCTTTTGCAGAAACAGCAAACAGAGAGTATTTTGAGAATTTAACATCAGAAATTCACTCGCACTCAGGACCCACTGCTTTTAGCCAACTAGAGCAAATTAACTTAACCACACAATGGATACTGGAGTCAGACACTGAAAATCGATGAGATCTGATCTGAATAGCCCCAACCTTTGAACTTTAACCTCTGTGCTTACCTTGTTTCCTCCCTGATCTACGTAGCGGGCGGTGTTGTTGTATACTCTTAGCATCGGCAGGAGCCCATTCGACTGGCCGTTGGTCTGCAAATTCAATTTTTAAAAGAAAACTTGTGAAATTGTGAAGAGGTCACTTTATATTATGGTCGACTCTCTGCTTATCGTCACAATTCCATCATCTAAGTCAATACGAGGTAAAGTATTAGTTAAAGGGGATGAACCTGTGTTCACAGGAACGGAGTGCCCATCTCTCTTTTGAGGCGATTGGGCCAGACTCGATTCCATGAAGTGCTGCTGTGGGGGGATCGCCACACCTCCTCCACAGCTAGTCAGTTACCTTCCCAGCATTGAACAATGCCGGTACCCATTTAACACCTGGGTTGAGAGGAGTAACTGAGGTAAAGCGCCTTCCTCAAGGCACAACATGCATGGCCACGGCGGGGCTTGAACCCACAATCTCACGATCATGAATCCTATGCTCTTATCGCCAGACCACACATGCCCCTAAGTCAATAAGAAGTCAATTAGTAATAAGCCAAGGCATGCCTTTGTTATTGTACATCCCCTTTTACTAAATTGCGCACGGACTTGACTACCACGTTGCTCCCCCAGCCTTACCCCAGCAATGTAGCTCCCCGTGGCTCGGATCTTGTGCACATTGACGCCGATTCCGCCAGCTGTCTTGGAGATGAGGGCGCACTGCTTCAGCGTGTCGTAGATCCCCTCAATGCTGTCATCACTCATTGTCAACAGGAAACAGCTGAAGAGTCGAGTTAAAGGGAAAATACAACATTTGCAAACATCAAAAAATAAAACTACCAAATCATTTTGAAATACCTTGCTGGACTGTTAGTGAATGACAGTGTAAAGCATCCTGTAAAATCATGGCACCTGGTATACTGTCATTTTCAAGAAAAGTGGTATTTTTGTATCAATTTCCAACGCTGATCGGCCGACCAGCGTTGGAAAAAACTGGCTTTTTTTCAAATACTGGCCCCAATTGACCATCGCACTTGTTTGCAATCGATTACACACCTATGAACGGGTACAAGCCAGCTAGACTGGTTCCCTGACCTTACAATTCCCCAATGTATGTAAACTGCTCTGTTTCTTCTTATATGGAGTCAGGGAACCAGACTACAGGAAAATGATTGTTTATCTTGGTTTTTATAGCATTTTCGAACCCAAAACCTCAAAAAAGTCAGTGTAACTATATTTGCTATATATTTCCAACCCCCAATTCCATCCATTTCTGAAAATTACAGCAAAAGCAAATGATGTATATTCCCTTTAAATAAAAGCGGTCTGATCACCATTTTCGGATACCTCTTATTTCAAGATTCAAGTATTTTGTTATAAGCCATCAGAAAGCAAATGAGCATACAGTAAAGCGAGATAGTTTTTTCTTCTTCTAAGTTTGCTTTTACAGATAATTGGCACAAATGTGTACCTTGAAAGTTGTGGTCGGCACGTTCCGGCGTTGAATAGCGTTGGTGAGGCATGGGTGAACCACTTCTCAGACAGAAGGTTGTAGGTCTGTAAGAAACAAAATTTGAACACTAAGTCATATCTCTGGCATGCAACCAGGAATTTAGAGGAAAAAATCCAACCACACAAGACTTTGTACAGTGCTTTTCAATTTGTAATGGCATTCACGAGAAGTAAAAAACGAGGAAATCAGCAGATCCGAGGAAAAGTTGCATGCCTGCATATTGATGGAATAACAAATTTTTCACTCAAGATCTACAAAAGCGTGTGCGCTGACTATTAGCTTGCAAGCAACGAACAAAAAGTAAGTTGGGTCGCATTCAAAACTCTTGTGGTCTTCGTCTACTACAACTGCATGGGAACATGCTGACAACAGACCTAGCCGTAGTTCTTAACTCACTTTTCAGACATGGCTTTGGACTGCCAACACATGTTAACAAGTGATCTTTACCTCAATGGCAGCGTCAATGTCATTCTCGTGGATGCCGACAGCTACTCTCATCAACATGTGCTGGGGACGCTCCGCAACTGCAACAAGAAAATACCATCAAAATATCCAATAAAATGTTGGTCAAACTTAAAGCTGTTGTTCTTAGTAACATGCTACATCTCCCTAGGCCTAAATACTTCACTAGTGGGCAAAAATAATGTTGTAAGAAAGATTATTAACAATAACTCCCTAGGCATTTTTGCTAGGATGTAACCTCAATCCTGCAAAATCCTCCAACTGCCGCCATGTATAAATTGCATACAGCCTCTATCTTTGAAAATCCTCCTTTATTTCTCAAATGTGGTCCTTGGAGGGGTGACCACTGCCTCAATCCTGCAAAATCCTCCAGCAATCACTGTCAGTATGTTGAGGCAGAGCCAGCGACATCCTGGAGCAGTGCTGAGGATTTCAAGTACAATCTAAGCCGAAATTTATGCCGGGCTGAGCATTAACAACACAGGGTCCGGCCAAAGACCTTTACACAGTGCATCCTCCAAAATCAGCCGCATATTTTTGCCATACAGCCTCAATCCTGCAAAATCCTCCATTTTGCAAAGAGGATTTTGGAGGTTAGGGTTAGAGTTAAACAAACTGCATCTTTGTCTCCTACTCACCTTTTCCGTTAAGTTTCAACAGGTAGGATCGTTCCAGAGTCTGCAAAAATAACAAAAGGGTAACAAAACTTGTGAAATTGTATTTGAGTCGGTTTGTCTGTGTTCAAAACCATAAGCCTAAGCTTTGTGAGTCTAGGCTAAAGAGTATACCAAGTGTTTCTCAAAGGAGTTTGTATAAATCTGAGGGACGGAATTGTATGAACCTGCAAAATCGAGCATGGCACCATTTGAAGCCAAGAAGAGTGAAGTGGTTCGACTCCATTCCAAGCCTGAAGGCCCAGGATGGCTTGCTCTATGACAGCATAAAATCACAACTACATGACTTTGTAGATGTGAGGAACGGCCGTCAATATACAGAGGAGTTTCAATAGGATATGTATTTTTAATTATTTGTTTTTAACATCTGGAAGCTTGTGAAACCTCCTACTCAACTTGAAAATGTTCCGCTGGTATTAATGCAGAAAGTGGTGCATGTGCCATCATCTAGGCTTATCGAATTTCAAAACAATATAATGTATAGGAACTTACCTTGAATCCAAAATATTGGTAGTCGTAATCGCGATCGTAGATGATTGCAGAATTCAGTTTCTGTTGAGACAGAAAATTAGTTTATAATTGTTTTGTCGACATCAATGGATATTTATAATTTTGAGGACTGACAATATCACACAAAAAATGTACTTGCATGTCACTCTTGCCGTTACCAGCAATGTAACAATTTCGAGAAAACACTTCCAGCTAAAACAACACCAGCATATGATAGTTACGTGCCTATTTGCTACGAATTGAAAAACTTTCCGAACTTTAATACATCTAGAAATGTAAGAAATACTTGTATTTCTGGATCAACTTCAGATATTTATCCCTAATCCCCTAGTAGCCCCTCAGGACTACCCTGCTAAATCCAACAGAGTCCAACCGGACTTTCCTGTTCAATCCACTGTGCCTCATTTTCAGTTGTCTACTGAATCCAACGGAGTCCAACATGGCGTTATAATGCGGTTCAGTTGCCTGCTGAATCCAACATTTTGCATCAGGAATGTACACAAGGGGTTAAACTGCTCAATCCAACAGGCTTAGTTGGAGCCTGTTGGACTCAGCAGGGTTAGGGATAATAAACCTACGTCCTTGTGCTCCATGATGATCTGATAGGTCTTGTCAGATATCAGCGGTGAGGGCTTGTCATTGCGTGGGTTGATGTAATCATACAGGTCGGTCATCACCTCTACAATGTAAACAAAACAAGAGCTTTGTTAATGATCTAACCATCTCAGTAAACTGTTCAAAATTATATAAAATTTTTCAGATTTTTTTTATTAGAAAACATTTCAAACGGAAGCAATGAAACGGTTATTGCGAATAAAATTGAAAACATTTTTCAGTATCTAACTTATTTGGGCGGGCCGTCACCGCGTTGTGGGGAAGTTTTTTTTATTGTTTAGGATTGAGTTATGGGGACTTTCTGCTGTCCCCACAACTACGGAACTGTGCGTTTATTTATGGCGTAAATCGAGGACACTCACAGGCGCAACACCATCAAAAGATCAAGGACAGAAACCGAATCAAGGACTTCTGCGCTCGGAAAATGCGTACAAAACCAATGAGAGCTGTTGTGAAAAAGTTACATACAAAGGAAAAGGGAAGAGGAACAAAAGAAAATCCTCGATTTACACCATAAACAAAAACGCGCGCATGCTTGTGTGTGTTAAAACTTTGTATTTACTGATCATTGACAAAGGTGAAAACAAGTGGCTTTGAGATACTGTCATCTTCCCAATTTGCCATCATGGTCAACGCCTTCCCAACAAATTCTGAGACAGTTACAGCAACACTGTTCCGTAACACGCACCGGAAAAGATTTTCTTGGTCTCCTTGTGCAGATTGGAGACTGCGATACGGGCGGCAAGGATTGCATAATCGGGATGTTTGGTTGTCATGGTAGCGGCCGTCTCGGCAGCGAGGGTGTCCAGCTCCACCGTGGTGACGCCTGGGTACACGCCGTTTATGACCTTCATTGTGATCTCGGTCTGGAAAAATGAGGAAATAAGAATATGCATCATGTGGATAGTGTCGTGATACTTGTTCTAAAAACTTACCATTTTTATTTTCTTTATTGTCAAAAAGTCCATGGGTAGGTAGGCCTATTTAATAAAGTTAAATGTGTGGTGTAACATGGTTGTGAATCAAAAAACAGTTTTAAAAATGTTGGCTACTTAACATCGAACAATCATTAGTGACATCATTCATCATGTCCATCATGTCCATGTAAAAACTTACAAGGAAATTATCACTTTAATGACTTTCCCTCTTGGTCTTATGAGAGTACATTATAGGCCAAATTCAAGTAGGCTTAGTGGTCAGGTGGTAGTGCTATCTGAAAAGTATTTCGCTTGGAGATGGTTGATCGTGACTGTTTTTTGGAATGTCAACTTACTGGATCTACGAAATCCGCATTAAGGCCATAGACGAGCTTGGAGATCCGTGATGTGATCTTATCAAACATCACCTTCTCCTTCTTACCATCTGCAAAAGAAAGGGAAAATGTCAAGGAGAAACCCCTAGCTAGGTGTGTATGCGCCTACCGGGTTAGTTACAATTTGAAACACAAAGTTGTGAGTGAACACTTTGCCAATTTTGTTATTTTCACAAAATTAAACATTTTTCTCTTTCCCAAAAATGTTTTTCTTTGGACAAAATATATTAGTACATTTATTAACAATCAAAGGGGGCTTCGGAATACTTTGTATGCTAAATCTTGTTATTGTTAGAAAAAAAATAAGAGTTGCACCAGCCCAAGGAATTGGAGGGAAAAGCGTTTGCCGTTTTGGGCTCAAATTTTCGCCCAGAAATGCCGACTAAACATGACTTCGTCAGCTTTTACTTCACGATCTACTTATCCCCGTCCTCTGAAGAATACATACCTCTCTTTATCACATACATGGTGGAGGTTTGAGGGAGAAAAAGAGCAAATAATGTTGAGAGAAATTTGACAAACGATGTTCACCCGGTACCCAGCGGAGTTCTCAAATCAAGCGCCAAAATTTTGGCTCGGAAATGAAGAAAGAAAACCCATCTCGTCAGCTGAGCAGAAATGTTGACCCTAATTGGAGGTCAATTTCAACCAATCATTTTTGGCGGAATCCCGGTAGCTGTTGCATATTCATAAGGCCGGGCCAGGACCTGGCTGGTGTACGGGATTATTTTCTGTACATTTCCGTTGAGCTGGCAGACCATGACTACCAGCGACAAGCTCGCGCGCGAACAACAAACGACAACCCCTTTATTTGTTTCCTTTTTTTCTAACCGCAAAATGTCCCTGGAAATATATAAGCTCATAGGGGATTTACCGTTATAATTTAGGACATTTGGACCACGATCTCCATTGGATAACCGTACCTTGAGCTTAGATTTATGTTCGCATAATAATATTGTGAACTTCATGTACACTGCACCAGTCTTGTACTGATAGAAAAAAAAATTGAATCACACAAAAAAAAAAAATGATGAAGACAATTAAACTGTTCACCCGCACAGTTTAGGTGATATGTTATATCCAATCTATGATCAGCAAAAGTTTGTTAGCTCCGATTCGATTAAGATTGATGAAGGCTAGTGGTCGGGTAAAACTGGGTAAAGGGGTAATTATCTCGTAAATTCGCACCAAGTTCTAAATTATTTCATTTTTCTGAAGGCTATCGCCGCCACTTTTAGGCCATCACTTTCATACAGCCATGTAGGCTTGGTATCTCCCGCTGGGAAATAAAATCTTCAACAAAATGAAGAACAAAAACAGCATAAGACCCCAAGCTAGAAACGTTTCCCAAACAACACCGATCGTTTCACCTGCAGACGGATCTGCAGCCCATTGATAAAACGACAGACATCGATGTGACCGAGGACCATTTACACCGCCCTCTATAGTTACAATTCCACCAAGGGATGTGGGTGACTATCCTGTGTTGGAAAGAGATTATTTCTGAACAATTTATATCAAAGTCTTCATTCACTAAAAAAAAAAGAAACAACTTCTGGTTTGAGGCTCAGTTTCCGAATTTTGGGTCTCGCTTGGGTTGGGAAACGGGAGGTTGAGAACTTACTTGTCTTAAAATAAATCAAGGCTATAGTGGAACACATATACGGCAAGCACCCGTGACATTATTTTATGACTAGAACCATATACCGTTTCGATACGGTAGGCGCATGCATCCAAACATAAGAAGTTTTGAGTTTAAGGTTGTTATCTCGTGAAATAATTCTCTGGCACAGGCTTGCATTAAAGTCAAACACTACACCTCTAATATAATGTCTATATAAACCCGCCCAACTCTAATTCAATGTTGGTAATAAAATCGGCATGTCAATATTATTGAATTAATTTGACATGTTGCACCCCCTGAAGCTTTTTATAGCTCCATGCTGCCATGGACGGTGGCAAAACTCACTCCAGCCTTCCAAAATGTTTGTAATAACACAATTAAATAACCGTACCCATAGGGGGCTTAAACGCTTGAGTTGTTATCACAACTAGCAAATTAGCAAATTAAACGAATTAGCAAATTACAAAAACAAAATCTACCCTGTCCCTTCCCGGGCTTCATAGCAACGGGAAACTTTCAAGAGAAGTTTGCAGTTAAAATGTAAAGGCTTCAGGAGACCAGGACTGAAGTCAAACTGAACCGACGTCCAGACGAAGCCAATGTTTGAGAAACGGTCTTTGTTGCACGAAATAATGTGCACCATTATTGCCTGCCGTCTTGAAGTCAATTACACGTTACTAAATTTAGATATGTTTGTGTGCCACATGCAGCTGAACCCGACCGGGCGAGACGCGCCAGTGGGAGTTTGCATCCCGGCCTGTCCCATCTCTGATTAAAAAATGCATTTTTAATCTCCACAACACGAGTCTAAAAGAGGATCTTTCATTTGACGTTGTAACAAGCGTGGGCAGGGTTGTATGTGAGAAGGGACGGATACTGGATGGATTTAATCAAACTAATTGGCCGAATTTTCAAAGAAATTCAAACTGGTTGATTGTAAAAAAGTAACCATTGGTATTAATTAAAGCCTTCATCGAATGTTACACCAAATATACTTAAAGGGTTAATGTAATGAAATGTGTTTAATGCACCTTTGTGTCCAATTATTTTAACCTCATTTTTAATTTTCATTTTGACATTTTTAAGGGCATTTTGGTGCGTTTGTCACAGTTTTAATGCTGATGCAAATTTGCATATTCATGAGCAAAAGTGTAATGTAATTTTAGGCAGAAACCACAATGTTACAGCTATTTCAGCCCCAAAAGTTGCCGGAATTTTGGACATTTTGCTGTCATTAATTTTCTTTTTTTTGGGTGATTCGTTGTTGTTTCAGTACATGACAGTAGGCTTATGAGCAAAGTTTTCTCACAAATGTTTTCAATGTACAAATTTGGGGTTCACAATTTGAACAGAAAACCCCTAAACTGAACAAGTGTCTTCCTGAAATAACATCACAGCAACAGCGCCCTCAGTTGTCAGGAAAAGGCAGGAATTTAAAGAAATGTTTAAAGAAGCGCACTTTTCAATGAAATTAACCAAAAAGGGATGTCAAAATAGTTTTCATTCATTTAAGAGGAATAGAAAGTTGCACAAAGTATGTTCCAAAGTAAAATTCATGTCATTGCCCCTTTAAGTATGACTACTGTCCAAAAAGGGCAATCCCAAAAAACGTAGTGTCTTTTTGAACCAATTTCACTGACTGACTGACTGACTGACTCCCCGACCGACTCCCCGATAGCCACTTGTAACCGAGTAGTGCTATCGTATAGGATTTCCTCATCACCCCTATGAATCCGACCCATAGTTTTGTGTAGACCAGATGGTAAAAAGACTCCCTGCGAACAGCTGTTCTGAATCAGTTGAGTAGAATTGATAGGCTTACTTTGTCTTGTGTTTCTTCAAAACTTCTTACTGCGCTATCACCCCTAGCAGTTTCAGTCGGCCTTATCTCACGGGCTCGCCTGGACGATTGCCCGCCATTAAGTCATTTTATGACGGCGTCGCATGGCTGGTGTTTGTATACGCTGCGACTAAACATGGCATTAAATCATTGCAATTAAATCATTGCAATGATGTGACATACCGTCATTGGGGCAGCAAATATGTAATCTCGTCACCAGAAAATTCTTTGATCCTACGCGCCTCATACAAAGTGTCTAGTATGCAAACAAAACCGGTAAATCACAATGGAGCAGCGATTTGTAGCTGACCTAATTTTGATATGAAGGTGCGGTCGACTTTTTAGAAATTTGACTCGTACTGTACTTATTTTTTTTCGGGGGGGGAGAGGGGGAAATAAAGTTTCAATAGCAGGCCTTTGTCATTCAAAGCGAAGTTCAAACGAAAATGGGAGTAGTTTTTGTAGCAAATCTGTTATGATCGATATAGTTAATTTATTTTATAACAACACAAGATTCAAATGGGTATGTTTTATGAGCATAGATAAAAACAAGTTACCTTAGTTGCAGCGTATAGTACATATTGCATCGAAAACTGTCCGCGACGCACGCATTGATATCTCTCTAGTTTTAACATTTTCTGGTTGTTATATGCATTCTACATAGACCACTTAGCGTATGTGATGTCAATTACTCAAACGTCCCATTACCCAATTGATAATGGGCCTAATTCCTAGAAATAACAATTACATGTATCATTTATAGAGAGTTCCATACACATTAGTTGCGCTCAATTTATTTCACTCTTAAGCATCGTGCAGCTGTCATGCATATTGCATGTAGTTATTAGCGGTCTCAAGTACACATGATAATGGTACCCTGAGGAGACATTTTGTCGTCATAAATATGCCAATAGGGAGACATCGGACATTAGGGAGACATTTCAATGTCTCCCTATTTTGCTGCTATTTAGCGGAAAATTTTTACCGTCGTTAATAGGCTAGATCCATTGCTCGTGGTCCAAAACATAAATTTACTAAAATTCCTGAGGTATTAGGATGAGGTAAAATTGGGATTAGGTTACATTTAATTTCAAGTTCGAAATGAAATTGTGCGCGAGTCTACGGGAATGTCTTCCAAGTGACCCATTATCGGTAGTTATTATATGACTTATCATGATCCTGCTATAATTCTCCATGTTTCGTGAAACATACACTTGTTCTCCATCATCTACAAATGCCAGCGAACAAGGCAACATGTTCATGTTGTCCGAAAATTTGGGACTCTCAATACTGTGTATAAGAGTCCAAAACTAAGGTATTGAAAACATGCAGTGCAAGAAAATAGACTGGCACCTGAAACAACCAGTCCATGATCCAACAACCCTTCGGTACTGCATCAATCAACTGTGCCAAAAGAAACATGTGGCATGAACTGGGAACTAGTCTCTATTTACTACACATTTCTCCATAGTCAGCCACCAGACTAATGACACTGAACGAAGAGGTCAATCTTTTCAAATAGTTGGACCATGGTTGGACATGTACTAGTCTAGTCTTTAGCCGCATTCTGAAATCACTTGACTTCCCTCTCATGTGCAAAATATTGAAGAAAAGTCTCCGTTAAAAATTGAATTGCGTCTTCAGACTTGGTTGGTAAAATACCAAGGACCTTTTCTTTGCCCAATGGAATTTGTGGAGAAATTTGCTGGCTAAAGAGTGAGTAAAGTTGGCCTGATTTAGTTTTGCACGTTTCAGAGCACTCCAAGTCCTAGTCTGATGTTCATGATGTTACTTAGCAGTAGACTATTTTGTTTCAAGAGCATTGATGCTGCTTATGTTTTATATCGTGGGTTTACGCAGTGTGCACCATTTTTATACCGGTCAGTACAAAAAAATGCATGTAGACTCTGGCTCAACAATAATTATACGTTCACTCAAAACAAGTTCACCTCGTGGGCGTCTGCAAACGAACTGCAGTGGACATAGGACAATCTCGGTGTGGATGCGCTCTCGACAGTATGCCCTCTGTCTTCATATAATAATGTTTGCCAGACTGGATGCCTCCGTTGCATGACGCTGGCGTAGCAACCTGAGTATGCTGTTGATGGCAGGCTTGCAAAACTTCACTTTTA